AACCAACAGATCTGTACGATACCGAAAATGCCGATTGGGCTCCTAGTTTAAACCTTGGCCATAACTTCGACGAGAATGTGGATGGAAAAAGGAAAGATCGTTATGATTTAATAAAGGAGAAAAGGAGAAAATCAGAAGGTGCCCAAGCGCTACTTGAGCAACAGAATCTAACTGAATTTCTACAAGAAGAACCTGTGAAGGCCACAGATTGTGTTACCGCGACTGGTGTCAACGAATCAACTACAGAAACAAGTAAAACTTCTATAAAACCTTGTGAAACTCAGACTGATACAAACTCAAGCGATATCCAGGCTTTAGAAGCTGAAATCAAGTCTCTGGGAGAAGATAACTCTAAGGTTATAGAACAACTAAATGAAGTCTCTCTTGATGTAAAATGGGTTTCGAGACTGTGGTGTCCTGTAGACATCCGGGACTATGCACAGTGGTCAGGTGACCGAGAGAGTGTGCGTGTATGAAAGAAAGAGTGGGAGTTCGAAGGGTGACGGTGTGCTGTTCGAGTTATTGACCTTAGTGGCTTCTAGAAATATTACATTGGGGACGAGGATGGTCCAAATATGAGTGAGAAGCACTTACCACCGTTGGATTTAACCGGACCGGCTTCCCAAGTCGCGGACAGGTGGCGTAAATGGAAGCGCGCGTTGGAATATTACGCCGAAGGAAAGGGCATGGACAATGCTCGTAACAAGACGTCTCAACTTTTGCATTTCGCCGGTATGAAAGTGCAAGACATATTCGAAGACTTACAAGATCCTGGTCCTATCCCAGCGGAGGGTGATAACGCTTATAAGGTCGCTATTCGCAAGCTGGATTTCTACTTTCGCGTCGAAGAGAATATTTCTTACGAGCGCCATGTTTTTCGTCAGCTGTCGCTGCAGGAGGGGGAGACCGCTGACCAGTTTATGGTACGCCTAAGAAAACAAGCAAGGCATTGCAATTTCGGAACGAGTCTGAACGACAACTTGAAGGATCAGCTGATTGAGAAGTTAACGGATTTTGAGCTGAAGAGGAAATTGTTGGAACATAGGAATATTACACTGGAAGAAGCCTTAGATAAAGCTCGTGCTTGGGAAGCGACTGGGAGACAAGCAACAAACATGACTGTGAACGCAGTGGTAATTGAAGGAGACAGCGTCAATGCAATCAGGACGAGACAAGGAAAAAAGAGATGATAAGCCCAGAAAAGTGCTACAATTGTGGAAGAGAGGGGCATCTGGCCATTGATAGGAGTTGTCCAGCGAAAGGAAAGAGATGTGCAAAATGTGGGAGGTATGGTCATTTTGCTCTGTGTTGTAAGGCACAGAGTGGTAATTATGCAACTGGACGTAAACCGGATCAGCGAAGGAGGGATTCTGATAGACGTAAGTCTTACAATGCTAATTTCGTGGGCGATCAGAACGCATCTGACAGCGAGGAGAACTGTGCTTTTGCATTTGCAGTTACGGAGAATCAAGGAGAAACATGCAATGCAACCCGTCTTAAAGAACCAGTGCTGGAAGTGAATATTAATGGTATTGCAACAAGAGTACTCATTGATTCAGGGTCAGTAAGTAACCTCATAGGAATGGAAGAATATGAAGAACTTACGGCCCGAGGCCTTAACGCGAAGATGGAGGATTGCCACAAGCGGTTGTATGCATATAGCGAGAGGAAGTTGGAAGGGATTGGCCAGATTAAAGTTGAGATCTCGGCAGGTGATAAGAGGATAGGTTCGCATTTGGTAGTCACTAAGAGTGGAAGGTGTCTGCTGGGCCACGAAACCTCACAAGCTCTGGGTCTGCTTCGTATTAGTTCGAGCGTCAGCAGTGAGTTTGTGGAGTGCAATGTCGTTGGCGAGAACTTAGCCCCATTTCTTCAGGCTAAGTATCCAACAGTGTTTGTTGGCGTCGGAAAGCTGAAAGACTACAAACTCAAACTATACGTCGACTCAAAGGTGACACCACTAGCTCAGAAACCAAGGCGTGTCCCATTTGCACTGCGAGCGAAAGTAACTGCAAAATTTGAAGACCTCATTGCTAAGGATATAATGGAGCGAGTAAATGGGCCGACGTCATGGGTTAGTCCTGTGGTGATTGCGCCAAAGGCATCAGGGGATATCCGGTTGTGCGTAGATATGAGGAAGGCAAATGCAGCTATCATTCGTGAAAGGATACCCATCCCGACGGTGGACGAGGTGTTAGAAAATCTCAACGGCGGTGCAGTGTTTTCAAAATTGGTTCTTTGTCTGGGATTCCACCAGATTGAACTAGATGAGGACTCCAGAGATATAACCACATTTGCCACACATGATGGGTTATTCAGATACAAGAGGCTGAGTTTCGGAGTAAACTCAGCACCTGAGAAGTATCAGCAGATAATAAGACAAGTGGTCTCTGATATCGGTGGGGTTCAGAACATTGCCGATGACTTGATAGTGCATGGCAAGAATAATGAGGAGCATGACAGGCATCTTCATAAAGTATTGCAGCGATTAGAGGAGAAGAATCTCACCCTCAACCCTCAGAAGTGTCAATTCAGGATGGACAAAGTAGTAGTCTTCATGGGACTTCTAGTGTCAAAGTACGATATCGGTCCAACAGAAGA